CTTTCAAAATCAGAAAATCTTCTCATCCCCCTTAACAACTCTCTGCTATAACCCTCGCCTCAGGTCAAGAGTCTTGGTGTCATCCTCGACACCACTCTCTCCTTCACTTCACACATCAACAATGTCACTCGGTCTGCCTATTTCCATCTCAGAAATATTAACCGTCTCCGCCCTTCTCTCACACCCCGCTCCACAGCCATCCTTGTTCACAGTCTTGTGACTTCTCGGATTGACTACTGCAACTCCCTTCTTTATGGCCTCCCCAACAAATCTCTCCAGAAGCTGCAATTGGTCCAGAACTCAGCTGCCCGTGTCATCACTCAAACCTCCTCCTATAACCACATCACTCCAGTCCTGCAGCAGCTCCACTGGCTCCCGGTTAAATCACGCATAGTCTTCAAAATTCTTCTTCTCACTTTCAAAGCTATCCACAACCTTGCCCCTCCGTACCTATCTGACCTCCTACACATCTCCATCCCCTCTCGGTCTCTCAGATCCTCCTCTTCACTGCACCTCCATGTACCCTCTGCCCGCCTCTCCACCATGGGGAGCAGGGCCTTCACCTGCTCTGCCCCTCATCTCTGGAACTCTCTACCCCCTGACTTAAGAAACACAACATCTCTTTAGACTCGCTTATCCTTAACTTTGCTGTATGTATTTTATATTCTTTATGCATTTTATATTCTGTATGTATTTTATATTCTTTATGCATTTTATATTCTGTATGTATTTTATATTCTTTATGCATTTTATATTCTGTATGTATTTTATATTCTTTATGTATTTTATATTCTTTATGTAATTTATTCCTGTTGACCTTTGTTCTTACTGTAAAGTGTCCTTGGGTGTCATGAAAGGCGCTTTTTAAATAAAATGATTATTATTATTATAAAACCTGCCCTGATCTGTTTAGAAGTGAATACTTTCAATAAAGTAAAAAAGGTTTGCTGATAAAAAACCCTTTGAGTGTACTCTGACGCAAAGCTTTGAAGGTAAGAATACAACATTTCTGACATAAAACCTTTCTCTAGTGAATGACTAACAGAAGGTGATGAGTCTGGATAGGCCTGGTCATGGTGGAACACAACAAATATGCTCGGGTTGTCCATTCTGTCCACCAGACTGTCATACCGGTCATTGTCATTGCTTGGTGGAGGCACCTTTATGTTGCTTTGGCCCAGAGTGTATATGCCTGTCAGGACTCGAGCCACAAACAGCCTTGAGTAGGTATGGCTAGCTGAGATGACAGCGTTTTCTGCAAAGTAGGTTCTTTGCCCATAGCAAATTGCTGTGAATGGCAAAATGAATGAGAAGTTGAAAGATATGGAAAATTATATCAAAAGTTTTCCATTTCAATATGGTGCAAAGCACTTTTGTGATCAGATTTTATAGGCTGCATACAACTCTTATCAAAAAATATATTTAAAAAACAAAGTCCTACTTTTAGAAAACATTCATATGATTTTCAAAAATCTTAAAAAATGCAACAAAAGTGATACATTTTCTGCCATATATGGAAGCAGGCCAACATGTATTGCACCTCATATTGGTAAAGAAATGCCACCTTACTATTAAAACTATTGACTAACTAAATTATAGTTGATTTTACCAAACAAATATTACCATTTTTCCCAGAAAAGCTCCTGTTCAACCCCGTTGTTTTGATGGAGTCACAGCTTTCCTGGCTTGTCCTGTGGTAGAGAAACTTTTCAACTTCTCCTCCCTCTAATTTGTTCTTTTCAGAAAAGTGCTTTGTCTGCATTTCATAGACACGGTGCAGATGAACATTCTGCACCGTGTCTAGAAAATTAAAGGATTGTAAGTGCACCTTATAGACTGAAAAATACAGTTTTGTGGTTTATGCATGTACCATACCATTGCTTTTGTAAGAAATTAATCATTATGAATGCATCAAACTAATATAAAGGACATTACGTGGCATTATTATTGCAGTTTGCAATTGGAACAACAGATGATTTAAAAATAATTTAAATCTCACCTTCAGAATTGTTCTTTGAACAGTTTTGTTGAAGGCTTGCTGCACTGTCAAGTACTCCACAGACAAAGGCTCTTAAACAGCTTCTTTAAAATCATCATTTTTACCCCTATTGTCTAAGGATGCCAAGGTCTCCGCCACACCGACCTCCTGCCATCCTTGTGAGCTCTTCCTCCCCGAGACGAGCAGCCTTTTTCAAGGTAAGTGGCGAGGAGTGTTTTTCCGTGGCGAGCCGCTACCCGCTAGACGACGCCATCGCCTTTTCTAATGATTTTTTCCTGGCAATAATCGGATGATTTCCTCAAAAAAGGCGATGTTGGCAGCAACTTCTCTGTTTTTCCATGGAGGGCCGCTACTCGCTGGACGACGCCACCGCCTTTTCTAACGTTTTTTCCTTCGAGGTGAATCGGATGATTCCCTCGAAAAAGGCGTTGTTGGCAGCAGCTCCGCTGAGTGTTTGTCCGTGACGGGCCGCTACTCGCTGATCAAAATTTAAAAAAAGTCCATGCTCAATAATCCAGGTATACAATCCAACAATTTTCAGTCAGGTCATCT